TGGAGTGCGTTCTCTACAAGGCGGAGCCCACCCTCCTGGCTGGAGCTTACGGGCCGACGGCGACGGCGTCCTCCGACAGCCTGCCTTCCACCTCGGCCGCGCCGCCGGGCCTCTATCCGCCCCTGGGTCTCAACGGGCACCAGCCCCTGGGCTTGCCCCAGCTGTGCCCGCCCTACCTCGGCTACGTTCGGTAAGGCAAGGCGGCGGGATCTTAGGCGTGAGTGCCCTCGTCGAAGGGACGGGCCGAGGGGTCGCGCTGCTCAGCGAGAGGGCTCTGCGCGTTCCCCTCAGGCAGGGCGGCTGTGCCGCGGGGTGCGGGGCTAGCACGGAGGGGCTCTGGAAAGGTGCCGAGAGACAGATGGGATGAGTTTTACTCGAGTGTTTAGGCAGTAACTGCGGCCGCGTTTCTGTTTTCTGTGTTGTTTGTGGGCGCCCGGGTGTTCACCGTCTGTGTGAGACCGACACGACGTTAACTGTGCCGCTGGCACCTCCTGCATCTTCCTGGGACAGTAACGTTCCGGGAAAAGTCAGTGGCCCAGTGCCATCTGATGTCTGGGTGAGTGACCGGCTCCAGAGAGCCCAGTAGAATGGTCTCCAGGCTGTCCTCACCTGTTGACAGCCAGACGATATTCATAAATACCTAAATATTCTCCAGATGTTTATTCCTGACTTGGTAAAACCCAGTTGATTTCACACAAAAAAGAAAACTGAGTAATTTGTGTGTTGATTTCTTAGAATGAAATTGCATACTGTGATGCCAAGATGATGTGCATTACCTAGAAACACATGCAAAAATACGTATGTATAATGCTACAGTTTCAACAGAAATCCTTGATTTTTGTAAACATAGTGATGAATAGATTAGTCTGTTTCTTGGAGAGAAATTCAGAAGTACTTTCCACTTTCCTCAATGTGCCCATCCTAGTTAGTTACTGATGAGAGTGCTGCAGCTGAATGGGAAGTTACAAATATTAAAGGTTTTTCTGGCTGAGATGAAACTTAGTTACTTCCCATTTGAAAGAGGCCTTTGAAATTCAATTGACTTTCATTTGAATCTGTCTCCGTACCATTCTTTGTACAGGAAAAAGGAGTTTCAGGCAGTATGACTTTACTCGAAGAAGTTGTTGATCTGAGGAAGATGAACATTTTAACAAAGAGCTCCTAGATTGTACTTTTTTAAGCTAAACGTATTAAAATACTACTGTGCTTTTTGCCCACTACTTTTCTTTTTTAATGCCCTGGGCGGATGTTACAAATGCGCTTTTTACCCTAGCAGAGACAAATCCTTGAGCAGAAAGGCTGTCATACTTTAGTTTTTTCTTGTTCTTCTATAGCTTGGTTACAAATTTGAAATGGAAGTTTTGACTATAAAACAAATTAATACTGGTAAGTAGTTAACTGTTGCAAAACTGGGTATTTTATTTCTCTTAATTCTTTTTCTTTTGAAGGCCAGATGCAGAAACAAGCCACAGTTCTCAATACAGTTTTGAATCGCTGCCCCAGAAGATTTGTCTCATCTGCGGTGATGAGGCTTCTGGTTGCCACTATGGAGTACTTACCTGTGGAAGTTGTAAAGTCTTCTTTAAAAGGGCAATGGAAGGTACTATGTGATGCCATTGGTCCTGATTATCTGAAATATATCATTTTAGGCACTGCTGAGGACATACCTTTTATTTATTGCTGATGTTTGAAAATGTTAGCACTATAGTAATGTTTTTTGTTTTGACAACTCTGTTTAAATATTACAGTGAATAGTAACTAAATTATTTCTTAATTGATTTTGCTAGTATTGTTTGTTTTACTTTCATTATTTGCTATTTATTATTTGCTGTTTATCAGTTAGCCTTTCTGAGTAGGCAGAGTTCCATAAAAATCTGGTGTATTACACAGTTTCTTTTAAAAAGTGTAAATCCTATTCAAAGGAAAATTTTGTGGATATGAACTAATGATAGGCAGATAATAATTTATTTTGGCTTCATTCTGTTTTTGAATTAGTGGAATTTTTCTTGCTTGCAAGATGCAGGATTTCGCTTCCTGAGAATTATGGAAGCATTTCAAGTTTCACTGAACTATTTCAGGTCATAATAATAATAATAATAATAATAATAATAAATGAGTTTGGCATTTCTTCCAAATAGCAGTTAAATTGCAAAGTCAAGCTGCATGTTTAATAAATTAGGAGCAATACCTATGTTAATTTTTTCTTTTTGGATTATATTATATGCCTTGTCCACTGAGATTTTAAATATGAATAGAAGAGCAGATTGTTTTATATAGTTCAACTGATGAAGCAGTAAAACAAATCCTTCTGCATTTTATGCTTCGTTTCCTTTTCTGATTTTTACCTGATCCTGTCAGAACTAGGATATTACAATTTCTTCCCCGTGTACTTAAAAAAAAATTATTATAATGTATAGGATTCCTTAAAATAAAAAAATACATTATGTATTTCCTTGTTGTGATACATAGTTTATTCAACTTAAGAGTTTATTGCACTTCAAATGAAAAGAGGAGTATTGGAAAAGTAAAAGCTTAGCAAAATAATGTAGTTAGATTTTTTGTTTTGGTGTGGTGCTACTTTCTACTTTAGGCATATGCTCATGTTCTTCCTTTAACATCTTAGATACTTCTGAAGTGGTAACACTGGACTAGGTGGGCTATATCAGCGTTTGAGCTGGCGCCACATTTTCTCTAATACATTGAATGGGATTCTTGAGAAAGATATTGGAAACTTAAGTGCTAGGCTGCAAGGAAAACGCTTGGGTCTTAAGTCACGCACAGGAATACATTTGAGTTTCACTGACCGTGCTAATTGTTCTCTTGGTTTGGCTTCACATTTTTTGCTATGTTTGTTTAAGTAAATCAGCCATATACTTTTTTTAAAAAGGACAGGGAGCTGAAGCTTTTAAGAGTTGACTGTAGTGTAGCTTATGCATGCCGTATTTTAAAACAGGTTTTATTACTCACTCTTCACCTATACAGTAATAATCTATTCTTTTAATTTAAATTTGATTCTCTCGGTTTTGAATTTCATCTCTTTCCTAAACTAGTGTGTTTGTGCAGTAGGTGAACCTGCTAAAACCCATCTTATTACTGTTCAGCATAAATATTTTAATGATAAATGTTAAGAAGGCATATAAATTGGCAGTAGGAATATCTTAAGGTTGTTTCCACTGATTACTTAATCCAAGTCTGTATTTGCAGGATCTTACCAGATGAAGAATATAGACATACAGAGAAATAAGAGGTCAACACAATTACACAAACAAAATGCTTATGTTTTACATAGCAACCTCACACTTTCCATTTGTAAATGATTCCAAAGACTGAGAGTACAATGAGGAAGTGTGTTTGGGTTTTGTTAGTAAAAATATTCGAAGAATGGATAACTACGTCAGACTGCCTAACTATAATAAGAGAAAATACAAGTTATTGAGTCTTATAGGGAAGAATGACAGGCATGAGCAGTGTGGACACGAACAAGATGAGTAAATAGAGTTACCTGTTTTTGTGCATTTGTCTACAGAGAGTTCCTTAAGGAGATTGACTTCTTTTTTTAATGGAAGCATAGGATATAATTACTAGCATTGAAACAATCCTATATATAGATAGATACTTTATTTCATTTAGACTTAAAGTACTTATTGTTCATTTCTTATCAGAAATAAAGGTGACAAATTGCTCTTCTGTCAGTATTTTTATTGTAAATGCCATAGAAAACAGTGGTTAAAAATTCACAGTGGCAATTGTACAAATCCGAGACATTCCTCTTATGTAAAATGTTCCTCTGTCTATAATTTCTTAGCTTTTTAATTTTTTTTTTTTACTACCACAGACACGTGGGAGTTTTTTAATAATAATTGATTCAAATAAGATAAACTTTATGTGTGCAAATTCACAATTGAAACTCTACTTTTCATATATTTCCATAAAGTACTGATCACTATGAGAAATTAAAACATGATTGGAAATAGATGGCTTTTGCTACTTCTTGGATTTTCTATATTTTGAGATCTTACATGTTTTCAAATGTGTAGGTAACAAGGTATATTATGTAGTGGCATTAAGTTTGTTGGAAAATGTGTATTCTCTTTTTAAATTATTTCTCTAATCTGAGATATGTTGGGTGTTTAAAATCTAATAATCTCTGGGGTTTTTGTTTGTTTGTTTGTTTTCTTCATGGAAATTGTCCTATTCATACACCATTTGTTTTACTCACCCTTAGTGTGTGGAAAATACTGTATTAGTTAAATGCTTCCTTTGGGATAAAATGGACCATTACATTATCCAGAAAACACCGTTTTCTATCTCTAATATTTTTGAAATAAAACCAGATCTTATTTAAAATACTCAGACTAAACAACAATTTAAAACTCTATAGGCGAACCTAGAAATATTGCTATACTAAGTATGATCTAATCATACATTTTAATATGACAAATGGATATACATAGAGCTTAACAGAGGATCAGAACCACGAGGATCACTAAGATAAAACTGTAGAATTAGACTTAAATTATTTTAGAATGTTTGTTGACAATGAATTCTTAAATATATATGATTTGGTAGATGTCTTTGTCTTTTGGGTTTTGGCTCCCCATATGTTCCTATATATGCAAATAGACAGATGGTGTTAACACAATAAGCGTATTTTACTCTAAGCAGAATTTCACAGTATCTTAAACAAAAATGCAAGTCCTTTTTTGGGGAAATGGTAGTATAGCAGATAAGAAAAAAAGTTAGTGCAGGAAGTGGGGAGGAGAAAAGGGACAAAGATACTTGCGTTATTTTTAGGAAACATTTCTTTGCATTTAGAGATTGTACATTTTCTGTTTGGTCCCTTACAAAGAACTGATTTACTAGTCCATCCATTCACTTAATGTACAAACAAATTACAAGGCTTTTTAAAAATTCTTTAAAGATCTCCTTTGGCTATAATGAAAATAACGAAAGTTACTGCTATTTATATTCGGTTAAGAAATTTGAAAAGACAAAATTTGACTCAGTATGCTGATGAGGTAGTGCCATTCCTGTCAGTGAGCTGAGAGTGACAAGCAGTTTGCAGTTAGCAATAAAAAAAAATAATTGGAAATCATACGGAAAATGCTTTCAAAGACGTAGAATAACTATATTTGCAAAGTAATTTGCTGTTGCTGGTCAGGCATAATTTAAGTGCTACCAGTATATCTTGTTCATGGTAACAGAAATAGGGTATAGTATTTCTAAAGGCGCTTTAGGAGAATGAAGATTAAGAAATGAACTCTTTTATAGCACTAAGTTATCAAACAGTCATTACTGTTGTCTTACAAAGACATCTTCACATAAAACCATGCAGGGTATCCATGATCAAAATGCTTGTGTAACACCATTATAAAAATTCAGTCCTGGGCAGGAACCCAGTGTGTTGGGATACTGCAGTTATGCTGCTGCCAACACCTGGTTTCTTGGTGGCCTGCATTCTTGCCCTTTAGTTGAAAGCATCTCCTTTGCAGTAGTTTTAATAATGAAAAATTAATATATCCTAGATCCTGAAAAAAATATTGAAGTGCTATATTTTCTGTATAAAGTCCCACTGCTCATTTTTGTTCTATGTTTATATAAAGCATTTTCCTTCCCTTGCATTTTGTTTATATTATTGACATCTAATGATAAATAGTTGCCCAAACCTGAAAAGTTTGAGGCCAACATAAATGATAGAATCATAGAATGGTTTGGGTTGGAAGGGACCTTAAAGATCATCCAGTTCCAACCCCCTGCCATGGGCAGGAACATGGGTCAGAAACTAACTTGGTTTGTTTAAATACCTGGGACCCTATTACAAATTTGATTAAATGATTATATAGCAAATTTGGCTAGGTTTAATATATGCTTCAAGCTCAGGGTAGCAGCTCTGTGCAGATAGTAGCATCAGGGAACAAGCTCAACCATATGAAGTAGATAACATTTTACTGACAAAGTGTGAACTTTTATTCTCTTCGAGATCTGAATTTGACAAACTCTACAAGACCAAAAGTTGAGTTTCCACAAGTTTTCACTGTGTGTATGGAGGAAAGTGGAGGAGTTAAAGATTCCTCCTACGTCCACACAGTAAGAAGGCTGACCATTACTTCAACCAAACTTTCTGCTAAAGTTTATCTGACTTGTGTTATGTATAGGCAGTTTTGTGATGACAGTGTGATTCACTATGTAGGTAGTGAAATAGTATGATAAGGAAAATTGCTGAACTAAGCAGTTGCGCTTTTCCATAGGTTAAAAATGTAAAATGGCAGAAAATCCCAAACTTTTTAAAAAATGCCAACCACTAATAGAAAATCCTCTTTGGAAACAAAGTGAAATGCCATTTAGAGATATTTCTGGCTGTGAAATTGATGAGACAGTTGTAAAAAGTTCCTTTTTCTCTTAACTCTGCAGGGATTTCTTATTTCTAGTCCAACTTTCCAGGCTGGATCTTGGGATCAGAATTTGGTACAGCATGTACTGTAAACCTAATAGTGATGAAAGTTTCATGAAGTAGAAAACATACAAACATACAAAGCATACATATGCCAAGTTAAGCGATTAAAATGCTTTACTTACTGTAATATTTAATATTACTAAAGC